AAAAAAAAAAAAAAAAAAAAAAAAAAAAAAAAAAAATCACTACATATCCCGGCAGGCCTAGCGGGACGCAAGACAAATGCAAATAAAGACTCCGAGCGTTCGGCTACGCCCTTTCCCGGGGTTGGCCGGGCAACTGATACACAAGACAGCCAATCAGTGAGATGCTCACCTGTCGAGGCGGGGATTCGACGAGAGCCAATTGGACGCAGGGCAGACGGTCCCACCGGCCAATGGGTTGGACGGCGGGGCGGGCTTTAGAGGAAGGGTCGGCGGTGGGGAAGATGGCGGCGACTCCGGGTGCTTCTGGGTGGTGGCAGCGGTGGGGACGTCGCTTGTCGGCTCGGGATGGGTCCAAGATGTTGCTCCTGCTCCTTTTGTTGGGGTCTGGGCAGGGGCCACGGCAAGTCGGGGCGGGTCAGACGTTCGAGTACTTGAAACGGGAGCATTCGCTGTCGAAGCCCTACCAGGGTGAGGCGCCCGGAGCAGGTGGTCGTGCCGGGGGGTTCGGGACCTAAGGTCATCGGTGAGGCGGAGCGGCCAAGGGCTCTGTGGCCCCGAGGAGCCTGCCTGTGGCTCGCGCGCGCGTTTGGGAGTCCAGGGCCGGAGGCAGGGATCAGCGCCTCCGCTCTTAGCCCTGGAAGTTTCCAGGAGGTTGAGGTGGCGCTAGGCCAGGAGTCGGACAGGAATGCGAGAAGGGGACAGACGCGCCAACGGGGCAGGACCACTAGCAAAGAGCCATGTCCGCATGTGCTAGAAGTAAAGCAGGTGGTAGAGCTGGGCTCCAACTTGGAAGTGGGAAAGAGAATCAGATTCTGTGGCCAGTTGGCACACCTCTCTTCTCCAGCCCAGCGGCGCCATTGATGAAAGAGGCCGGTTGGTTTGCTTTGTTTAGGCTTCATAGGTTTCTAAGCACACCTCATCGACCAGAAAAGTGATACATGTAACTACAAAGAGCACCAAATCAGTGCAGGTGGCTTCACACAAATCTGTTTCCCCACTGGGACGTGGTGGGGGATGGGGGAACAGCAAACGGACAAAAAACCAACTCAAAGTGCGAGAGAGTATACGCTACTAATAAGGGTGATCATTTACTCACTTAGCAGATGCACTGAGTGTCTGCTCTGTGCTGGTTCCTTTGCTAATACTGTGGGTTATACAGTCACACGTCTTACTCTCATGGAGCTTATAGGGGGTGGGAAGATGAGAAGTAGCATCACACTGCAAGAATTGTTTAGAGAAAGGATGTGATTAAACTCCAGAGGCCTGAGTGTCAGGCTCTTTTTTTGGTATAAGCGAGGAGTTTTTTTTTTTTTCTCTGCCATTGTGCTGAAAGTTCACTCACATATAAAATAGAAAGAATGGATCTGAACTATGATTACTGTGGAATGGATAAAGTGATAGCTCTGATGTGCTTTGGGGGTCTTCTGAAAGGAAACTAAAGATTTAAGATTTATGAGTGGCAGGAGGTGGGAAATTGAGTGACATGAAAGGGAGCAGAAGATGATGCCTCCAGGTTTTGGAGGGCCCGTGGTGGCCTTCTGAAGGGGCTGGTGCTGAAGGGCATGACCTGATGGACCTCCTCCCTGTAGGTGTGGGCACGGGCAGCTCGTCGCTGTGGAATCTGATGGGCAATGCCATGGTGATGACCCAGTATATCCGACTTACTCCAGACATGCAGAGTAAACAGGGTGCCCTGTGGAACCGGGTGGTAAGAATCTTTCTCTTTCCTGTGTTGGTGACTTAAAAGTTCTAAAAAGCTCAGCAGTGACCTGACCTTCATTTTACTCTGTCTCCACCCCCGATTGAGTTGTGTTCTGTGTGTACCAAGGATCTTTATTGCAGAGATTATGATGACCTTCATAATAGAGAAATCAGATACTTAGGGAAATACTCTGTCTTGCCCTAATTATACCCAAATAATTTATTTCGAATCTGTTTTCTGAAATGTCTGTAGTTCCTCATTGGCCTCATAGTGCTACTTCTTGGGAGTTAATAGCTTAATCCATGTATAATTATTTTGCTTTGTAGAGTAGAAGACTACTCTTAAATTTATCCCAGACTCTATCCCAGTATCCTCCTCTGTTATTTCAGTTTGTGGAGTCTAATTTTGAATTTTATTTTCTTGTGAAAGCCACTGTGAACCATTGTCATTTTATTTGTCCTTCTCTGGACCTTCTCTAGCTGCATCGTCTTCCTTGAGGTATGGCGGCAAGAAGTGAACGCAGTGTTCCTGGGGTGGCTGCACTGTGATTTTGTACACGTGTGAGATGATGCTTTCTTTTCCATTTCCAGGGCTCTTTCTACATCTTTTAGGACCACTTTACTTTTGGCGATTACCTTGGCATCCTTTGATACTTTCTTCTGGGCTCTCATAAGCTAAGGATTTGTTTTTACATGGTTTTTCTCATTAGTTGTAGCTATTGAATCTCAGAAAAAAGAACTACTTTTTCCTGTTCATTTTATGTGGCAGAGAATTCTAAAGGAGCGGAGGGATAAGAGGTGGAGGTTTCTCCATGAGCAGTCTGCAGGAGTTCACCTCTTAGCCTAGGTTCTAATGCCAGGCTTGTTTTTGGACAGAGTGCAGGGCAGCGTGTCCTGGTGAAAGAGGTGAAGGGCTGGCAGTTGAAAGACTTGGGCTCTAGATCCTGCCCTGCCGTAGATCCACCATGAACCCTAGGCAGGCAGGTTATTTAACCTCAGTTTTGAGTTCCTGCGTCTGTCAAGTGGACTTCAGAATGCCTGTTCTACTTGTCTGCCAGGGTTGTTGGGAGACTGAAATAAGACAGTACAAGTGGAGAGCCTTTGGAAAGTTAACCTTGTTACAGAAATGTGTGTTGTTAGGTTAGTATACAGTAGGTTGTTAGACCTATTGTGAGAGCCAGTGCTGGGGCCCTTGGGGTTACTAAATGATCGTGTCTGAAGCTTGATGCCTTGTTACTGTCTTGGTGTCTGTTCATAGCTCTTCTCGCAGCAGTTCAGGTCTCGGCTCTCACTGTCCGGCCCTTTTCCCGATGCTCTGAGACCTGTATCCTTTGTTGTTTGCCTATCACGGTGAGCTCCGGAGTTGTTTCTCAGGCGTTTGAATAAGCACATTTGTTTCAGCAGTGGTTCTCAAACTGGGCTGTCCCTTGGAATCAGTGCCTGGGGGATGTGTCTTAGTCGTCTAGTGCTGCTATAACAGAAATACTAAAATGGTGGCTTTAACAAACAAATTTATTTTCTCACAGTTTAGGGGCTAGAAGTCTGAATTCAGAGCACCGACTCTAGGGGAAGGCTTTCCCTCTGTCAGCTCTGGAGGAAGGTCCTTGTCTCTTTTGAGCTTCTGATTCGGACGATCTTCATGTGGCTTGGCATCTCTTCCCCCATCTCTGCTTCTCTTTGCCTAATCTGCTGTTTTTATATCTCAAAAAAGATTCACTCAGGACACACCTGTTGGGAATACTGCCTTATTAACATAGCAAAGAAAACCCATTCCCGAATGGGATTATAGCGGCAGGTATAGGGGTTAGGATTTACAGTACGTATTTTTGGAGGACACAATTCAATCCATAACAGGGTGCAACCTGGGTAATAGGATTTTTAAAAGCTCCCAGGTGCTTCTGAGGCGCAGAGGTTTCAGAACTACCTTGAGACATAGCCTTGAGCAAAGCTGCATAGCGTGTGCTGCATGTGGAGCCAAGAACACAGGCCCCTTGGCGAAATGTGAACTCTGGCCCTGCCCCTTTCCCGGGGCATAGTGCCTACCCTCTGGCTGTAGAGCAGCTTCCTGCCACTGAATTTCACTCTTGCCCTGAAATCTAAATGAAACAGAGAGATGAGAACCGAAAATGACCAGACGGGGCCTGGGCTCGTCAGGGTAGAGTAAACTATTGCATATTTCAGGCCTCCTTGCTGAATTTTCCCGGAGTTTTGGTGCACAGTGCTTAACAGCTGGGCTACTAACCAAAAGGTCAGTAGTTCAAATCTACCAGCTGCTCCTTGGAAACCCTATGGGGCAGTTCTGCTCTGTCCTCTAGGGTCGAAAGACGACACTGGGTGTATGCTGTTCCCTGGGCTTGCCTGGGGTTTCCAGAGCTCTGGATGAATCAGATGACAGGTTTCTTTCTTTAGAAGGAGCTCTGGTGGCGCAGTGGTTAAGAGCTTGGCTGCTAACCAAAAGATCGGCAGTTCAAATCCGCCAAATGCACCTTGGAAACCCTCTGGGGCAGTTCTGTGAGCCAGAATCGACTTGACAGCAGTGGGTTTGGTTTGGGTTTTGCTGGATTTAGAAGTACCCCCACCCCTTTCATTTTGCCTGTGTTCTCCTGGTGCTCACACTTTTGGAAAAGTGTCCCAGAAATCAAAACCTGAAACGATCTAGCAATACGGTGCTCAAGAGCCTGAGGCCATCTATTTGGACAGCCCCTGGCCGAACCCAGCTGGTTCATCTGCTCTTCCTCCCCTGCTTCCTTCACCGTGAACTGCCTTATCCAGGAACCTCCCTAGACCAAATACCCACTCGGGCTTCTCCTGGAAACTATTTTAGAGCACTTAACCATCCACCTGCCGCCTCCTCCGTCTTTCTAAGGTTTTGTTCCGCGATTCAAAAAGCAAAAAACGAGGGAGTCTGGTTAGTCCGCACTTCCCTCATGGTTCCCGCCAGAGGCTCTTCCCGTGGTGAGGACCGTGCTTTTCTCTGGTGCATTTGTGCTTCTTGGCCAAGGGCTTGAGGATTCGGGGGACTGTAACGTACACCTTATCTCCTGTGAACTCTGGCTCGCCCCTCAGTTGACAGAGGGCCAAGTCTAGCTAATTAAAATTGTTTATAGCATCTGCTAATTATTCCTGGAAACCTTTGCAGAGTAACTTAGCTTTTCTCACTCTTTTGTAACGCATGAGACTTTGAGCTTTAAATCCAAGCTTTTTAGAGTCTTTTCGTTCATACGGGGTGATGCTAAGTTGAAGATGAGTATTAATTTAGCTACCTGTGCTGTATAGACTGGGATGTTTTGCGGGGTGAATACAGGATAACAGTAGTCTAACTTAGCATATGCCTCCCTTTTCCAGTTTGGGAGTACTATCCTGTTTCTGCTGGGAGATGCTGAAGATAATCTGGAAGTTGATTCACGTTTCGTGTTAAATCTCTTGCCTAGCTGAATGGCTCAGCCCATTTTATTTTACCAGCACGTCTTAGATGTTGGTTCCAGCCCTCAGCCTAGTGTTAAGTGCATCTGGGTTTTCCCAGTCTGTGGCTTGCTGGTAAGAGCTTGAGGGCTCCAGTGGTTCATTCTGCTCGTTGACTCGGTGTCTTTTTCACCGCAGCCATGTTTCCTGAGAGACTGGGAGTTGCAGGTGCACTTCAGGATCCACGGGCAAGGGAAGAAGAACCTGCACGGGGATGGCTTGGCGATCTGGTACACAAAGGAGCGGATGCAGCCAGGTACTGGGACCCCGGTTACTCCTGCGTGGGGTGCGGCAGCCTGCTTTTATATGCGCCCTCTTTTTGAGGAGGCTGCTTCCCCACCGCTCCAGCAGTTTTTCCTCTCCCTTGACGTGTGTGGATGAAGACTGGCCCTTCTGGGCCCTAGAATGGGGTCTGAGTCCTAAGAAGCGGGTAAGTGTGACTCCTCCTGGGGATTGCCCTGTGAAACCACCTGGCCTCTTGGCGGGGCAAACGCACTAGCTCTCCCAAGCACTGACGGTTGGGTGAGCGCATTTCTCTGGGGCAGGCACTGTGAAAGGTCTCGGCACTGCTGAGTCAAAAGCAGTTTTCCATTTTCCTTGTGGTGCTGGAGCCATTTGCTCTCGTTAGGTGGCGGGCTCAGCGGATTTGACCTGATCTCTTTTGCAGCAAGAAGTAGACCCTGGGAATTCAGTTCTCTCTCGGGGCACAATCTTCACCAAGTGTTTGTGAAGCAGAATTCTGTAGGGGCGCCTTAGCAACCAGTTTGCATTAGGGAGCTAAACAAGGCTGCAGCGGCCTTCTCTCTCCCTGCCTTCAACAACAAACAGCTGCAGATACTTGCTGGTTGCTGCTTATGGGACATGCACTTTGCTGGGTGCTTTTACCTGTTTTCTCATCTCAGAGAGGCCTGGGACATTTGAATTTCGCTTTTTCCTCCATCACAGAGATATGTGATTCCTTTGTCAGCTCTTGGCTTTATTTCATTGTTCATCATCTGTTCTCTCTCTCTAGGGCCTGTGTTTGGAAACATGGACAAATTTGTGGGGCTGGGAGTATTTGTAGACACCTACCCCAATGAGGAGAAGCAGCAAGAGGTAATGGCAAGCGTCAGCGCTGAGGCCAGCTGCACTGACAGCACAGCCCTTTGCCTCAGGAGGGACAGAGGGGTTAGAAAGCACGGGGTTTGGTCCCATTTTCTTTGTCTGCTGACCTTCAGAAGTTAGTGTCCTTGTCAGTGCTTTTCTAGGGAGAACTGTTTGTGAAAGCACAGCCTTTGGGAACAGCGGTTGTGACTGGGGGCCTTTTCGTCGGTGCCAGCGATGTTCTCTCTGGCGCCCATAGGTAGCCACTGAAATCGAGCTGTATCTGCTTGACTGACTGGTGATCTGGCTCCTAGGCCGGCACCAGAGCAAGCTGAGTTTATGTAACGGAGCTGGCCCCTGACTTCTAATGTGTCACTGCTGTGCTCTCCTCTGCCGCCCGCTCACCCTTTCCAGCATCCTTTTCTTCTTCCTCTTCTCGGAAATTGATGAAATCTCAGCAGTTCATTGATGTTTGCAGAAGCTTCTTGCTTCTTCTTAGCTGGCCCTAGGGGCTCTTTAGGAGTCCCTGGTGGTGCAGTTAATGCACTCAGGTGCTAACCGAGAGATTGGAAGCTCACAAGTCCGCCCAGAGGCGCCTCGGAAGAAAGGCCTGGTGATCTGCTTCTGAAAAATCAGCCATTGAAAACCCCATGGAGCACAGTTCTACTCTGACCCACATGGGGTTGCCATGAATCGGAGCTGATGGCAGCTGGTTAAAGGGTTCTTTAGCATTTTCTGACAACAGGATTATACTGTCTCTGTCCTGTGGCACCGCCACCAGAGGGTGCGAGAGTGATTATTATATGACAGGTTGTTGTTGGTATCTTGTAGCTAAATAATATTTAATAGTGAAGGCAGGATTAGAAATAGAGACAGAGCTCACTTTAATTTTTCCCCAGAAGTTTATAATGAAAAATTTCAAACTTAATTAAAAAATGGCAAGAACAGTAGAATGATCGTTGGCTGCAGCACCCAGATTCGGCAATTCTTAACATATTCCCACAGAGCTGAGCTTCCGGGGGCAGAAGGTGAGGCGGGCCTGAGTTAGGAGAAGGAACCTGTTGTCCTGGGTCAGTTACAGCGCTCCTTCTCCGTCTTCTTTCGGGGCTGCACATTGAGGATTTCTAGGTGTGAGGCCCTAGAATTGGACAGTGAGCAGGGCCGACGTAGTCCTGGCACTCAGTCTCCCTGAAGTATGAAAATTCTGACGAGGACGCTGTGGGGCAGTGTGAGAGGACGTGGCAGGAGCCGCTCATTTGGAGTGGGGCCTCGATGGCAGTGGGGTGGTGGGGAAGGCTTCCTCCAGGAGGCCACGCTTACACTGAGGGCTGCAGGATGAGGAACCAGTGTTCCACGTGGGGGGAAGAGCACACTGAGGCGCCGAGATGAGAGAGGACGGTGTGTGTGAGGAATCTGAAGGAGGATGGGAGAGATGAAGCTAGAAAGAAAGGAAAAGCAGGGCCGGCTGTCCTGCCACGTTGCCCAGCTCCGGGGGCCAGCGTTCACCTTGCATTCTATAGTAGTGACACTGTCCCCTCTTGCGCACATCCACCAGCCGTGTTTACTCGGGCGGTGGGTACTTGGGCTGTTTATACCAGCAGCAGCACAGTCTGAACGCATGTGACTCACCCCCACCGTGCACATTTTGAGGCCAGGTTCTGAAGGGTCATGTTCCTGTGACAGAGCCTGGACTTTATTCTAAGGAGTAAATGCATAAAACCAAGCCAAACCCACTGCCGTCGAGTTGATTCTGATGCTTAGCGACCCTATAGGACAGGGTAGAACTGCTCCACAGGGTTTCCAAGGCTGTATATCTTTACTGAAGCAGACTGCTACATCTTTCTCCCATGGAGCAGCTGGTGGGTTCCAGCCGCCTACTTAACAGTTAGCAGCTGAGTGCTTTAACTACTGCGCCACCAGGGCTCCTGTAGTAAGTGCATGAGAGGATTTTAATGGGGGCATGTCACAACTAGATCTGCAGCCAAGCCGAGGATGTAGTGGTAGTTAGAAATGAATCTCAACACGCGGCATGGCCTTCAGGGATTAACTAACTAGCGCTTTAGACCTGGCTCTCTGGAACCAGAAACAAATTGTTCAAACTCTCTAAGCTTCCGTTTCACCATCAGATAGTAGTAATTCTGATTTGAGAGAGCGGATCTGATGAGTTTATTTTATAAGGAGAGCGTATGTTAATCAGAATTAGTTTCAGATGGTAAAAATGGGGGCCGCTTTTCTGACCAGCTCTTGTGGTTCTCAAGCCCAACTGCACATTGGAATTAACTGGAGAACTGTAAACAGTAACTGACGTCTTGGGTCTTAAAAGCCTGTGAGCGGCCATCTAAGATACACCTACTGGTCCCATCCCGGCTGGAGCAAAGGAGAGTGAAGAAGACCAAAGACACAAGGAAAGATGAGTCCAAAGGACTAACGGACCACAACTGTGACGGCCTCCACCAGACTGAGCCCAGAACAACTAGATGGTGCTCAGCTACCACCACCGACTGCTCTGATGGGGATCACAACAAATGGGCCCAGACAGAGTGGGAGAAAAATGTAGAACAAAATTCAAATTCACACACACATTAAAAAAAAAAAAAAAAAAAGAAGGCTTGTTGGTCTGACAGACTGGAGAAACCCTGAGAGTATGGCCCCTGGACACCATTTTAACTCAGTACTGAAGTCACTCCTGAGGTTCACCCTTCAGCCAAAGATTAGACAGGTCTGTAGGGCAGACGATAACACGTGTGAGGAACATGCTTCGTAGTTCAGTCATGTATACAAGACTAAATGGGCACACCAGCCCAAAAGCAAAGATGAGAAGGCAGGAGGGGACAGGAAAACTGGACAAATGGAAACGGGGAACCTCGGGTAGAGAAGGGGAGAGTGTTGACACGTTGTAGGGTTGGCAGCCAGTGTCATAAAACAATTTGTGTATTATTTAATGAGAAACTAATTTGATCTGTAAACTTACCCCTAAAGCACAATCAAGGGGGAAAAAAACCAAAAAACTGACGTCCAGGTCCCAACCCCTGATACTCTGATTCAGTTAGTCCGAGGTGCAGCCTAGTAGCTTTACTTTTTAAAAACCTCCAGGTGGTTCACATGTCCGGCCAGTGTTGAGAACCCATGGACCAACATCAGGTCCTCATTTCCTTCTAATAAAAGCAATTCTTATTTATTAGGTAAGAGCCTTGGTGGTGCAGTGGTTAAGTACTCAGCTGCTGACTGAAAGGTCGGCGGTTTGAACCTACCAGCCACTCCGTGGGAGAAAGATGTAGCAGTCTGCTTCTGTAAAGATTTATAGCCTTGGAAACCCCATGGGGCGGTTCGCCTGTGTCGTGTAGGATTACTATGAGTTGAAATCGACTCGACAGCAGTGGGTTCGGTTTTTTGGGTTGTTAGGTGACTACTATGTGCCAGGTACTTTATATATATTGTCTCAATCCTCATCAAACCTCCTTAAAGTTATTACTATTTTTCTCATTTTACCAATGAGTAAACAGAGGTTCAGAGAAAGTAAGTGTCTTGTTCAAGGTAACAAGGTGAGGTGGAGCCAGTGTTTGAACCCAGGTCTGCCTGATTCCAGAGGCTGTGCTTTTTTTAAACTGTGGTGCTCTACTGCCTCCCATCCCATTTTCCTTCTGTCACGTTGATTCCTTCCTTGGGAACAGAGCCGCTGTCTCCGTGTGTGTCCTCTGTAATTTCAGTTCTTAGAGCATACATTCCACCAGAGAGGGTAGGAAGTGTACTCCTTTCTAAAGCCCAAGAACCTGAAACTACCCCAGCAGGCGGCATCAGATATGTTTTGTCAGCGGATGGTCTCCTTTGATGTCAGACACCGGCATGTAATAAAGGTGTCAGGCATTGTTACATGTATTACTTCTCATAACAATCCTATAGGGTAGGTATTATTATTATCCCTACTTTACAGGTAAGAAAGCTAAAGGGCAGAAAGGTTAAAAAAATTTGTCAGTGTCACACAGGTAGTGGGTCTGACTGCAGAGTGCAGTCTTATTATTTTGCTTTATTATCGTGAGCACATAGGAAGAGGCTGACAGATACTGTACCTTTAGAAAACTTACAGATGCAAGTGCTTTGTGTGTACAAGGAGAACAAGAAGCTGGCAGGAGAGTGAGCGGAGCAATTCCTCAGATCCCTCAGGCACTGATAAAAACTTTACTCTGGCCTCTTGTGTCCTTATCACCAGAGCACACAAGACCCCCTTGCTTAAGTTACTTCCTACCACACTTGTTCATAAGGAGAGACTGGGAAAATTAGAGCAACCAGTAATTCAATAAGTAGGAGATGAGGAAATTCGGTACGTAAGTTGAGTTTGGACTTGGTTCTCTGAGACTACAGCTGTTACTCAAAGTCACATATCAACAGTTTCCCCATCAGCAGTATAGCAATTGTAGTTTAGATGAGTAACTTAAGAGCTTCAATATTTGGGTGTGCCATAGTGAGGTTGACCATAAATAGCTGTAAAAATGATAATTAAAGACGAAATGGAAAATCTGAACAGACCTATAACAAGTAAAAAGATTGAATTAGTAATAAAAAAACTACCCACAAAGAAAAGCCTAGGCCTAGATGGCTTTACTGGTGAATTCTACCAAACATTTAGAGTAGAATTAACACCAAATTCTTCTCAAACTTTTTAAAAAAATAGAAGAGGAGGGAACATTAAGCAACTCATTCTGTGAGGCTAATACTATCCTGATACCAAAACTAAAGACATTATAAGAAAAGAACTACAAACAAATATCTTTTATGAATGTTGCTGAAAATTTTCAGTAAAATATTAGCAAACCAAATTCAGCAACATATGAAAAGGATTTTACACCATGATGAGAAATGCAAGATTGATTTAAAATCCAAAAATCAATTAATGTAATATACCATATCGATAAATAAAGGATAGAAGCTGTATGATTATCTCAGTAGACACAGAACAAACATTTGACAAAATTCAGCACCTCTATGATGAAAACACTCAGCAAATTAGGAATTGA